CCCCAAAACCCCAAAACCCCAAAACCCCACGTGTGATAATTCTACTGCTTTTTTGTGAATTGAAGTAAATATTAAAATATCAAAATATGAATAGTCATAATATCATAAACACATCTTAGAGATCTATAACTCCAACTCCTCGAACTTAACCTAAGCAAGTTGATTAAACATCCCGTAGACATCTGACAAAGGAGGACAGATAAATACTAAAGACTATGATGATTGATGAGAGAGATTTGATTTTAGTCAAGGAATATATAGAAATGTTTGGTGGAAATTTAAAAGTAAAAACCATATTTTCATGATGAAATTACAATTAGAAAGTGGAGGAAGAGACAAGCAAGCTATAAAACTAGATTAGACAGCAGAAGTTCAACCTGTAGCCTTCTAATAGCAGTTTATCTACAGTTCCATCTACCCAGAGCAAAGGCAGTGCTAGTACTTCTATTTCATCATAAGCTACTCAAAGTTCCAAAGCTCAAGACATATAATTCAAAAAGCTTTTGAAAAACGAGGTAGCAAAATAACTACTAACAACTGTAGATTCGAGACCTAGAGCACAAGATAATGGAATTTGAAAATAAGAATGAAAAGATCGAAGATGAGTTGAAATTTCAGCATCAAATAATGTCTACTTTAGTCGATGATGTGCGTAGAATCCCAGACATTGACTAGTTGATTGAAGAATTTGAGTAGACTAAGAAGAAGCAAATCTACTTCAGTGGTAATGGTGATTACATTATGAAGATAATAGATGAATACACCATTGATGATTTTTAGAATCTGTAAGTATTTCAATAGCTACTTATGATTTAAAATATCATTTTTAGCCTTGGCTTTTTCCCATAAATGATTGAAAATTGCAAAGATCTCTGCAAGTAATTAAAGAGAGATGAGAAAGTTATTAATAAAGAAAATGAAGTGGTTTCGAAAAAGATTTAGAGCATAAGTGTAAGCTATAGAATATTAATCACTGTAATAATAGAGTGCTATTATGATAAAAGATATGGAGAACAGACAAAGAAACAATAAAAAACAAGGTAATTGAGATAAATGAATGGAAATTATGATCTTAACAAATACGAGTTTTATTATATTGGGAGATTTATTTGATTTTTCCAATTTAATCTAATATTTATTCAGTGATAAAATATTGTAGAATGGGGTTTTGGGGTTTTGGGGTTTTGGGGTTTTGGGG